GGGTGGGGGCCGCCGCTCTCAGCGCGGGCTGGAGTGAAATTAAACTTAGTTAAAAAAAATTAAAAATTAAAAAAAAAATCAACATTAAAGCCCCATCTTTCCTCTGGAAATTAAAATCTAGCGGACAGTGAGTGCAGCCCCTGCTGTTCTATTTCCGCAGTTGTCGCCGTGGCGTGAGGCAACCGGCGCAGCCTCCTAAAGGACGGATTGCACGTATGTACATGGATATAAAGGATAATTCATGTATATATGCATATATACATATATAAAAAAAGAGGACACTGATTATGATGCTCAGGTGGTAGGTATGACATCAACGAACCTCACACGTGAGAAGGGACCCCTTCATGGAAATTTACGGTGGTAGGTATGACATCAACGAACCTCACACGTGAGAAGGGACCCCTTCATGGAAATTTACTGCTCTGTTATTCCTGGCGCCAAGTAACAAGAACAGCGTTTATTTTATTTCCTTTTTTCTTTTTTTCCCCCCCATCCACCTTTCTCTTTTTTAATTCTTGGAAAAGTCAGACGTGGCTGACTGAAATGAGAGGTTCCCACACCTGCCAGGTGCACCTGTGAGTTGCTCTTTCTCCGCATTTTCCAGACCAGTCCATCTCTGAGCCTTAACCCTGAGCATTTGAAGAAGTTCTCTTTGCTTCTAGAGTACTTCTTCATGTGTTCGAAATCTTTCCTAATTTAGTCAGTTAAATTCAACTGCAAAGTCTGCTACAGTGTGCTGTCATTGCAGTTTTGTTTTGCAAAGCACAGTTTGGGGCCAGCTTTGTGTCCCTTTCACAGAGGCGGAATACCACGTAATTAAAAAAGCTGTAAAATGACTTGTGGTCTCTGGGTTACACAGGCATTTCTATGTCTATTTCTGCATTCCTACAGCACACACAACATTTGTATTAATGTTTGTGGGAGCAGGACCCACACACTGGGCTCCAACAAGCACAGTAGATATTGATAACATGACTATAGAAGCCTACCTGTTCCCACTGCACATTTTTATTTACCTACAGAAAAATATCAAATAAATGTTGTGCCATGATGTTGAGCTGTGATGTAGAATGTTTTGCAGACAGCAGGTAATTTGATTACTTGCATCTGAAGGTTTATTTATCTCCAACCCAGTTTGGGATGAAATTGTTGTTTCTCATTATTTCAGTTGGTGTATTGTTTTGTGGCATTTCAGCTAGAAGGCTCCCTTAACATTTTATTACAGCATGAAGTATGATGTAATTAATGTAACCCATGTGGTACTACGTTATCTGTCTAGTGGGGGCCAGGGGGTTAATACAGATATTCAGAAATCCTTGTTAAAAGAAACTTTCATAGCCACAAATATCTTACTGGATGGGCTGTATCAGTCACACTTACCCCTTTTTACTTGAAACATGAGGTGAAATGCTGTCTTTCTCAAAATTGTGCCTAAAAGCAATCTGATTTTAAGAGCAGCTTTAAAATGTGCTTCCTTTTTTTATTGGACTTACTGTTACAGCCCATAAACATTTGGGGTCAAGAGCTCACTTCCTTAAAATATGCCAAATGGGATTAGTCTTGAACTTCCAAGAAGTAAATATTAGGTGGAAACTGATGTTTATTTATTTCATATGGAGGGCATCGGGATTCTTATTGGTAACTTGTTGTTCACAAATTTAGTCTCATTTAAGTCACTGTGGGATTTTTATTGCCTGTGGGTTTGTTACAGTACATGCTAAAAGATAAATGTTAATATAGTTTTAAAAATAAAAAAGAACTTAGGTAGACTTAAGCTCTAAATGACTCCCTGTCCCATGGATTCCTCTGCCCCACTATGTCCTTTCTTCTCCAAAATGAACACTAGGAATACAAACACATCTCACCACACGAAGTCAGCATTGCCAAATCTGTTGGACTCAGGGGGATGAAGCTTTGGGGAGCAGTGCCTGGCCCTGCCAGTTTCCTGCTCCACTACTCTCTTAACTGGAGAGGCTGGTTTTACAGGCCAGCAGACTGCAGCCCTCGTGCAGCAAAGCACACGCTGCAGCTTGGAAAAGTTGCCGGTGCTGCTTTGGAGCACGTTGATTGCAGCGCCTGTGTGCTTGGCAGGCAGGAAGCCTCGGGGACCAGCTCATCCTTGTGCCCATCCTGTCTCCCTGCAGATGCAGAGCCCAGCTCCTGAGCACCCTGGCAGCAGCTGGTGGCAGACTGCTCTCACGATGAGCAGCAACGGCAGCAGAGATGTTTGTGTGCCCTGAGTGAAGGCTCTGGCGCTGGACACAGTCAAGCAGAATATACGCTGGTGTGGTGGAAGTAAGGCAAAAGTCAGCTGGTAAGAAAATGTGGCTTATTCATATACCTGTCTTGAAGGATGAGGTGAACAATGGCAGGAGGATAGCATTGTGTTTGTAAATGTGCTTGTCAGCCTGTGTATTGAGTGTGTGAACACCGAAAGCTTTACAGTGCACAAAGAACTGCCCTAAAGAAATTAAGATCTTGCCTTCAATATTTAGAAGTATAATTGTGCTTGGCAGTCAAGGGTTAATTCAGCTTCTGCCTTACTTGAATGTTCATTTATTTCACTGGGGAGGCCAAGTATTTTAAACCCTCCCACACTGGATGCAAAATTATGCTCAGCATGCCTAGACATGTTTGCTGCTTGCACTGTTTTATTTCCTTGAACAGTAGCAGCAGAGACATTTTGTCTGGGAACCATGCTAGTAGAACACCACCACTCCCATCCATTTCAAAAATGCAGACTTATTTGGAAGACCTGCTGAAGGAAAATGATGGTCATTGACTTGTTTCATTCTCTGGCTTATAGCTTCATTCACAAAATACAACTGTCTCTCATTAGCCTTGTAAAGTACATCTACTGGCTTCAGACAAGCATGTTTCAGAAGGATTCCCTGATACGCCAAATTTGCAGGAGAGGGCAGCTCTCTCCCGCTGTGGCAGTACACATTACAGCAATGTAATACATGACTAATCCTTCTCAGAAAAATAATTCCTCTTTGTCCTGCAAGTAAAAACCAATCGGACTTGCTTCTCTGCTGCCACATGCTTTGTGGAGGCATTTACACCTGTGAAAACCTATGAAAAAAGGTAGTTATTATGTATGTTGGAATGGATTTAGTAATGTCTCTATGCAACTTGCACAGAAGTAAATGATGGTGCAGGACTTGAAAATCAAGGTTTGTTTATTGAAAGCAGTCCTTCCACTCCCAGGGTCAGGCATGTGGTTTGGAAGATGATACAGACAAGGTCTCAGATGAAAAACAGGTTGTGCTTTTGAAATCTTCACCATAATGTAGTTCTTGTGAGGATTAACATTTTGTAGGAAGTCCTCTGTTTTACACAGTTAATCTGACGCTTGCCAAATCGTAGAAGAAATTACATATGGAAATTAATTTTGTTCCTTGTTGTTCTATTTGCTTTGGAGGTCATTTCTCCTTTCCTCTTTATGCAATACAAGCAAAACCCACTGGAGCAGAGCTTTGATCTATAGGCAATCCCAAACCTCATTAAAACTGACAGGCACGCTGGCCACGCTTTGTTCAGGAAGAAACAATTAAGCTATTTTATGGCATAAGGTAGATGAAAATGAGAAACTGCTGCCCATGGCACAGGGGTGCATGGCCAAGTGCTAAGATGAGCTAACTTGTATGAGCAAGCACTAATTTGGGGAAAGTCAGGGAGACTTTTCTAGGGATTGCTCGCAAGTGCAGCAGCAAGAGCACAGATTGGTTGCAGCTGTGTTTGCCTGTGTGCATGTCCGGGACCGGAAACACCACACAAGAGCCAGCAGACAGTGGGAGAAGCAGCGGTGTATGGCCCTGAGAAAAAGCCAAGGGACAGCTTCTTCTGGGCAAGCATCCTGGCTGGAGCAGCAAACTTGGACTGCTGCACAGTTCTCCCTCCCATTTGCTTCCTCTGCGTGCAAGGAAATGGGACGTGGCTGTACATTCTTTGTAAATAAATAGGATTTCACTAAGGAGCTGACTGAATTAATCATCGATTCCCGCCCCCCTGTCCCTCCGCAGAAAAAACTGGCAAAGTGCTGATTATTAGTTAACTCTGTGGGTCAAAGTTCTGTATGCAAAACTAGAGAGCTTTTCAGTACTGCTAAAATGATCACCAGAGACCCTGCAGATATCAAGGCAGTCTCTGAAATTCAGACCTCAAAACAACAGTTGATCATTTCAATCGCTGATGATCCTTCATGGATTTTTAATGCCTGGTATTTCTACAATCCATATTAAAAGTAGCTTTTATGGAACAATAACAAGAAACTGCTTTCTCTGATCCCTTGTTTGGAATGTTTAATATAGTCCAGATGCATCTGTTGAAAAGAAATGTAGTCAGATACGATATAGTTGTGAAACATTTATACATCAGTAAGGTGTTTGATATGTAGAGCTGTTTTGAATAATTTGTTTATTTGTGTTATCTTACAGTGTGTCTTCTTATCAAGCTGCTCTAAACTCTTGCAGATTTATGTCCATATTTAGGTCCCCACAGCAACTACATTATCCACCTCAGATTGAGAGTATGTTCATCCCAGCACAGCTGAACAAAGCAGAGCCCTTCAAGAAGTCTCTGTCCTGAAGCTGGAGTGTACTCTGTGTGTGCTCTGACACCTCTGTAACAGGATGTGAAGCCTTAGCCTTAGTGGGAAGGCAGGTTTGCAGCCAAGGATAAGACTGTAAAAATGCCCTCAACTCACCTCTTTTCCCTGGAGCTTCACCCCAGGAGACAATTACAATCCAACAGGTCTTTGGTTAAGAGATGCTTTAGTGATGTGAAATACAAATTTGGGAGGAAAAAAAATGCTGCTTTTAACTCCAGCTATATTTATCAATCAGTTCTTCTCCAGCAAAGCACAGCGGGTGCCTGGAGCCTGGAATGAGCAGCTGGTGTGGCCGAGGGCAAGGCTGTGTTACTTTTGGCAGCAGTGCTGGCAATAGCTGGCTGGAAGCATTTGTGAAATTATGGCCTGTGGGGGCACTTCTGGTTTATGCTGACGTGTGTGCAGGCTGCCGCTGAAACAGGCCGTCTCACTGGCTCATCCTGGCACTGGTGATTGTTCGGCTGCAGGATCATTTTTTTTTTTTTTTTTTAAACTGGATTAGCTTTCAGCTCTGTTGGCAAGCTGATCTGGCTTAACGTGTGGCTGCATGAGTGTCGGAGCCAGCAGAGAGGAGGCATCAGGAAAGCATGACTAAGGAAAGGGGAAAGGATGGAATAATGACTTTTGCCAGTAGCACAGTCTCATCTTGGCTTAACCCCCCCCGAGAATCTGCCTGTCAGGGTAGAGTTACCTGTTACAGCTTGAGTCACGTTAATGGCTTGCTTCCACTGAATGAGAAAAATCTTGTTCCTTTTTTCCTCGCTCTTCTGATGTTAGACCTGATGATTGTCTAATCTTGCATTGGACTGATTTAACTTGTTGAATCAGCACAAAACTTACCTCAACAAACAAAAGGGAATAGCGTTCTGCTGGCTGAGTGGGTGGAATCAGCTTGGTAGAGCATCTGCAGAGGCTGGCAGAGCTGGGACAGGCAAAGGGAGTAGTAGCTGTCAGCTCTGAGGTTGTTGACTGAACCACAACACAGAGGTTCAGTCTCAGAAAACTCCTGGCATAGTGCTTCTTAGAAGAGCCGTGATCTAGGTTTTCTCTGTAGTTTAAAGATGACAGTAGATTATTGCCCTTTGTCTTACAACAAATATGGTGTTTGTCTTGAAAATCTGGAAACTGCCACTATTGTATAATTCCTTCCAAATTTCTAACCCTATATTTTCAACCCTCCCATAACTAAGTGGCGTTTATCCTAACACCTCCTTTCAAGCTGAGCCTCTCCTTTGAGCCTAAATTTCCCTTTGCTTTGTTTATCTATTACTCCACAGATCTACAAATGTTTTTTTCCATCAGCCGGAGCTTTACTCTGAAGCTTCTACAACCGGTCTTTGATGCTGCCTTGGGAAGACACTGTGCTCTTGGATGCAGGAATGCAAACTCATAAACAAACTGCTACTGAAAGTGCTGCTATTGCAGCAGAGTTAAAAAGTATAGAAAGATGGACTTGTAATGTGTGAAAAATGGTTCTGTGTGGCTCTGTCAGTCAGATAAGAAGTAGAAGAGTGCCCAAATTCTATTTGATCGTGCACAGGACAGCTGGGGGACACTTAAGTAGGGTGCTGGCTAGGCAGTGTTTCTATGCACCAAGCACAGAAATCCTGCTGTGTGTTTGCCCAGAAGTTTAAGCTTTCCTCTTTGACAGAAAAAATCAAAGGCAAGGAAGGACAAGAACACTTTCAGGTGGACCTAATAAAGAGGCATTATCCCAGGTGGGCAGGCAACCATTTTTCCATCCATTCAGCTCCTTCTTCATTTATAAGGAGACAGACTTGGACCAGCCCAAAGAGTTAATAGAGAATAAAATGTACTCTAAAAATATATCAGAAAAAAATGTTATAGGAGAAATATATGGAAATATATATATATAATAGTGAGAAATCGAAAATTCCATGTTGTTGTTAATCTTTAACCATAAAATTACAGAGAAGATTAATTATAGGACCTAGAAATTCTTGAGACCAAAGTGGCTGTTGGGAAACTGTAGACAAGGAGCACTCAGCAAATGTAAATGCACAAGCATTGGAATATCACTTGAAAATAGTTTAGGTGGCTGAGGGAAACTATCTGGAATTACTTGTTTTTAATAAACAGCAAACAAGATGCTGGATAATTAAGAAGAAACAGGCAGGATGTTGAAATACATGTGAAGGTCTCAGTTGCTTTTGTGCAGCAGCTCTACCTCCTGGGGCTGTTCTCCAGTGGATAATGGAAGAAATGCCTCAGTGTGTAGGCACTCTGAAAGGGATTTTCAAAAATGCTTATCCTTGGTCAAACTGTTCCCACTGAGTTAAGCTGAGCAGGCAGGCCAACTTGGATGGGGCAGCAAGGAGAGAAGGTGAGGAGTGCAGTAAATTGGGGAAGCAAAACCTTAGTATGTTATTGAATGGCTTTTAAGATCCAGATTCCTAAATAATCAAGAGAAATATGTCAGATGTGTGAGAGAGCTTCATTTGATAGAAACACAGTCTGATTTGTGATGTTCCTTGTGTGGGGCATTCCTGGGGGTGAAGAGTCTCCCCTGTGCTGATGAGTGACGTGACTGCAGTAGGTGCAGAGTAGGGAAGGGATGCAAGAGGCAGAGTATGCACATTTGGGGACAGCTTTCAATGTAGTATTTCACAGAGTCTAACTTGAAAATAAGTTCAGTTTGACTTTGATGTGAGACCTGCTCTGTTGACTGCAAACTACCAGAACTGCAAAAGAGATACCCAACACAAAGGTCCTCTGATGTCTCAGCACTACCAGACCGAGTTTCATCGTCCTGTAATTAGAATGTTTTTTCAAGTGGACATGAGCTACCTCTTCTGCTCCATCTCCCTGAGAATCGTCAGTGTTATTGTGGAAAACCTGCACAGGTTTTACAGGCCACGTTAACTCTCCAAGAGAGTCACCAGCTGGAAACGGTATAACCAGTGTGTTCAAGCAAATATGAATGAGTCGCTATCCTTTTATGAAGCACATAAGGCTATCTGTCTCAAATTATGTTATTTTTTAATAAGTGCTTTCAGAAGGTGGCAGATGCCCAGCAGGCTTGCCACCCAGCAGCGCCCCTCCTTAGGCTGTGCAACGTGCGCCTGTGAGCTGCAGGCTCAAGTGTAATTTAACAGAGTTAACACCAGAAACCCGTATATATCTCGGCGGACATATCTCGGCGGAGGCACAGGCTGCAGCCTCGGCCGCCGCCTTAGGCAAGCAGCGTCCACCGCCGGCCCTCTCTCCCTGCAGCTCCGGAGGCTGTCTTGGCCGCTCGCGGGCAAGCGGAGGAAGGGAAGAGCCGCAGCAGCTCCTGCCCTGGGGCTGGATCGGCGGCCGCGGGCCAAGGTGGGTGGGCCGGCGGGGCAGCAGCTCCCGGCCCATCGCTCCGGCGGGCCGGGGCCGGGCGGCGGGGCGGGAGCGGCGGGCCCGGAA